GCAACAGGAAAATTAAGTGATCTAGTTATAATCGTTTATCATAGAATTGGGTGACGTGTACTCGAATTATATGGTCGGTGACTTAGACTCACTAACAGATAATACCGTTGTTATACGTTTGCAAATGTTATGACTCACGATAAACCATGTACGGATACGATGTAAAATTATGGACAATGGTGGCGTCAAACGGTATCCATGAAATTCGTTGATTTTTTAATAAAGCATATTATAGACTCGAGACGTTAACGGCAACGCCATCTAACGTCACTGTTTTAAACGTTTTAATAAGCATAGCAAGTACCTACTCGTCGAAGATTTTATGAGGGCATGTTATATAGGCAATTTTAATACATCCATGCAAAATGTGTTCACTGTATCCAGTCATTTTTTTATTCAAGTATTAAGTAATATAATAAAACTTTCAGATAAAAGTAATTGTAATAATAATAATATTTTACAATTATATGTATTTAAATAAATACAATAAACTTAAAAAAAATTTTCATAAAAAACTATGAAGATCAATCGATATTATACTTGTTTCTTGACCGATGATCATTATTATTTATCACACATTTCATTTGTTTCTGCAGGTTTTCAGCGACAAATGTGTGTTGAAAAATTGTATATGCTGAACACAATGGCGAGTAATAGTTATATTACTAACATAAAAATTCTTAGAATGTATTCTATTTTCTAATATCCATATACATGTAGTGAAATTACCTCTAAATTCATATTTATTAATTGAAATGTAATATACATTTTAAAGTTTTAAAATAATATTTAGCATTAACCACGTTAAAAACAGTGACACGTGCTCATGGTCTAGCGCCACAATTAGACATAATTATATTGATATAACATGCTGCATGAGAGCTCTACAATTTATTGAGTTTGTCATGGAATCAACTAAAATATTTACCCTAAAAAACTTAGTTAAGAAGTTGTTTTATGCTCTTATACGTGATACATTCTAAAATATTATTCATTATTATGAAATCTATATCTAGTGTTCATTGCCATTGGTTTTATTACACTTAAAAAAGAAAGTTCATCAAAAGTTCTTAAGGTATGTTATTACTTATTTTTATTTTGTATATTTTCATTTATCTACCGCTCACGACTACATGCACTTCTGTTACAAATATTCTTGATTAAGTTTCTTTAACTAACCGTAGATGGGTATTATGTGTAAATATTTTTTAATAGGTATTTTCACTAAAATTATAGATTCTTCTATTATTTTATTTCTTATTTTGAAATTCCGCAATATATTACACGTTCGGCTATAATATCCATTTAGTTTCGATTTAATTTCGATTTAGTTCTATTTATGAATAGATCTCAAATCTCAAACAACTCTCGGTTTTCGTTACATAATTTTTTCCCACTCCGTGCAAACTTAAGATGACTCAAAGAAATATGGTAGAAATGTGTTGGTGTTCTTTAAATTTTATTTAAAGGTCAGCATATCAATAATTTAAAGTTTGATTAAAAAAAAATAAAAAAAATAGCCATAAATTTAATATGTCTTGTGCGTTGAAACATTTCGTAATTGGAGTATAGGCTAAGGCAGATAATTTATCAGGTACACTTTTATTTTAAATATTCAAGTCAACAAATAGCTCGTTTAAATCACCACACGTCTACACACAATATGAATTTTAGATTTAGAATTTTTATTGTCAAATACCTATAGATTGTTTGGGAATTTACATATATAAATATAATCGTAGGAACTGTTTGAAAACCAAAAAAAAAAAAAAATGTTTTCATAATTATGAAATCTGAATTTTTTTCATAGGGATCGATCCGTTAATTATTAACAGTTTAGATAAATAAATAAACATTACATTGTAATACTTGCCTATGCCTATGCCCCGTATGCGATCAAGTTCATTCACTCATCAATTTCCGATACCGAATGGTGGATCTGAAAATATCATAGATATCACTTATAAGGCTCATTCTCGATTTATGGGACACGCAGCGAACATACGTACGTTAGATGACCTAATATCATACGCGTAAGTGACATTCGAGTCTTTTATTTATTTATATTTATTTTTTCAGTCACTGCATCAGCAACATATAAGGACATTCCGTTCGCCCGTCAAACATGATTATGTACGCGATGACGTTAAGTGATGTACAGCGCATTGTGACGAGGAGTCCTGGCCGTAGTTTAACGGTAATTTCGTTATAATTATGTCATTGCGGCTTCAGCACCATTATTAGGTAACCGCGGTCGTAACAATAATTAATAATTTTTTGTCATTATCCATATTTATTACAAACAGTAATCGCTGTTCTTAAACATCAGCGGACGTCCTGCACGTCATCACTGATGTAACTAATGTGACGATATTTTAATAATAATATTACAATATATCTATTTTTATAATTATTAATGCGTTAGCGTGACGATTTAACGAATAATAATTGTCATCCATTCATCTACATCACTACCAATTCATCACTTTATTGCGCTGATGACTTCACCACTTGCAGGGTCAGTGACATATATATTTGTCATTCAACCAAAATTAACCATCACGGAAAAATCTTATTTTGATTTGATAGAGGAAAATGGTACAAATTTGTTTTTTGTTTTTGAGGAAAATAGCTACATTCATATTTGGAAACTTTCATCGTTGATTGCTATTATTATTTTGATTAATATTTAAGGTAGTTCTTCTACAGAAATAAGTATGAATGGTCGGTCAATGTGATCACATTATGTATTAATATTAGTACTTGCTATACATTGACATAATATTATTAATCGCTAAATTATAAGAGTTAATAAAAATAACAACAAAAAACTGTTTTAATTGTTTAAATAATTGCGATGTAGAGATTTTAGTGTACCTATATGTTAAGTAAATAGATAAATTATGATTTTATTATTTTTATGGTCATATATTATATATTACATCGTATTTATAATTTATATTATGCTTATATAGCCTTATGATTTTGTATTGACCAACTCTTATTTTGTCCACGCTCGATTTTAAAGGGATTTAATATTACTTACAGCTAGTAATTTTAATGACATTTTGAAAAAAATAAGCATTTTGAATATATTTTAACAAGTGTACTTGTTAAAAGTGACATATATGTAAATTGTAATCCTTTACTCTCACATCACTACGACACTACCATGTCTATATCAGTATTATATTTAATTGTTGCGAAATCATCTAGAGCGCAGATTTAGGCATCTGTCAAGACCTTAAGTCGATAGACGTAGGTACGCTGTATTTTTTTAATTGATAACTGACAAGGACCTAAATAATGCAAACGTTAGATCTTGGTTAGCCAATTTACGACACCTGCAGTTTTAGAGAAAATGTTTGCTTATACGATTGACAGAATACGGTGGTAAATAAATTAGTTTTTCAAATAAGTTATTACTAATTTTAAATGGAACTTAATGCATAGAGCGATTAGCTAATTTTCAATGTGCAAAATGCAGAAACTTTAGTAAAAGTTTTAGATCAAAGCATTTTTCTATTATAAGTAGTGTTAAAATAATAAATACACACATGAGACACATATTATTGTAAAATTGATACATTCATCGTTTTACACAGAATCTAAAATATTATTTTAAAATTAAATTTTAGACTATATTGAACGGTTTGACAATGATTTTGAGTCATAGGAATAAAAATTATTTAATAGTTGATGAAAAATAATCGTAAAAATAAAAGAGGAGTCGATTTTATTTTGTTAAAGTTATTCATAGATGCGTCATGTACACGCTCAAATTTTAATTAATAAAATAAATAAATAAAAATTCAGCTAGAACTTTTTTTTCAAGTATAAATAATGTTTTTATACACATGTTATATTTCGGGGCTTAAATCCTTAAGATTAATTGGAAATCCACCACTGATTTCAATAATAGTATGATATAAATAAAATTAGAAAATATGAATAGAGACTTATGTCGTAGAATGATAGAACAATACATTCTACATAAATCATCCCCTAAATCGTTTTTGACGTACAATAATTTATCATTGAATTCAAAAGTAATTCAAGATCTATTATTATATTATCTACTATACAGTAGAGCAGTGGTTCTCAATCATTTTAAGACTGCGACCCAAATTTTCTTCTAAAAATCTATCGCAACCCCCATAGTTTTACCTACATTTACAGAATTTAAAAAATAATTTCAAAAAAACAAATTTTTTTATTACTTATTTACTACTTTATAATAATTTCTTACAATCTGTATAGTTAAAAAAACTTCTCGCGACCCACAGTTTGAGAAACGCTGCAGTACCTATTTCTGTCTTTTCGTTTTATTTATTATATATAAATTATATAATGCCGAAATGTAAATGGTTTTGACGTTCAATAGTCGGTTACATTCATAATATGTAGTATGTTTTAAATTCACAAATGTTTGGAGAAAGCATTTTTTCAACCGTCAGAAGCAAATGGTTACGTAAAGTTTGTAAGATAAAAGTAGGAGCTGATAAAGAGAATACAGTCGTGAATTCAAAATAAGGAACCCTTTTAAATCCTGACAGTAATTTACTTTATTTAGGAAAGGGATGGTCGGGGTGTCATAGTCATACATACCTTCTAAACCATCCCAGGTCTTAGCTTGCAGCTACGGTTTTAGAGGGAGTGGCTCAATTCTCCTAACATATTTTTGTTTATTTTATTATAAGTTCTCCAAATTTTGAAACAATAATTATTTTATACAGATTTAATTGGAATAATCGTTATTTAGAATTTAGAAAAAATAAATAAATCTAACTGTAGTAGTATTTTTAATTGCATTTTTCCTAAATAATAATTTTTTTAGTAATAATAATTAATATTACAACTTACTATTCGACGGTCGCGTTGGTTGGATGCACTGCAAAGAAAACCCCTTTCGTGTACCTATAAACTGTTGATAGCCAATTATTATTGTCCTTGTTATCATGTAAAATAACTTCAAATTTCCAAATAGCATGTAGTAGCATCACAATATATTTTCACTTCCCTATCGTAAATTCTCCAGGTTTATTAAATACGTTATCTACTAAATTTTAATTGGCCCATTTTAATATCGTTTGGTAGCCACGAAAATTTGTATTTATCATTTTCAATAATATCAATATCTAATTTTGATTTTTTTAACACACTACAATAAGATATTAAAAAATATTAATTTTACGACTTCTTATTTGAATTTTACTCTTAACAAAACAAGCTATTAATTGATATCATTTCAAGAAATTTATTTATCTAGGTAAATATTATGTTAACTTACTTATTATATAATTTCTTATTATATTTTATTTTTTAATGTTTTTTTTAACTATGTTAACTGTGTGATTTTTTTCTAACAGACGCCAATATGGTGAAATTGTTTGCTATGAGTGTGTTGTACAAAGGACCCAATGATTCAACGCTATTGAAGTCTGCATTTGAATTGCAGTCATTTGGTTACTTTCAACGTAAAAGTGTGCAGGAATTTATGGGATTTGTAACTAAAACCATTGTAGAACGCACAGCAACTGCTGCTAGGCAATCTGTAAAGGAAAAAGGTTTGAATCTATTAATTCTATTAATGCAATTAAATAGATTATCAGTGTTTATTAATTTTAGAATATATGTGCCATGTTTATGTACGAGCGGATAATTTGGCTGGTGTTCTAATATCTGATGATGAATATCCTCATCGGGTTGCACATACACTTCTAACAAAGGTAAACTCATGACAAAATAAATAGATATGATTACAAATTAAAGATACTCAAATGCGATTTCAGAAAAATGGTGAGTTTTCCATCGTTTTTCTTTGGTGGTTTTGTAATGATTTATTATTTTATATATTTAAATATAAGATAATTTAAAGACGTATTTATCTTTCAATCTTAAATACGTATAACAAAATAAAATTCAATTAGTTGTAATCATAACTTTTTATCTTATTATAGGTAAATTTAATTTAAATATTATATACTTATCACTTGCCTATAGTCTTTTAGATTTAAACATGTAGGAAACTACATATAATCTTTATGCACAAACATATTTTAATGTACATTTTTAAATTTTACTTCTCTTTTCATTTTAAATTAAATTTATTCATTTTTTATTAATTTTATTTAATTTTAAGTAAATAAATAATTTCAGTTTATCAATATTTATTTAATATCTCTAATTTGAAAACTATAGTTGCAATTATTGAATTGTTATAAATTATTATTGAGGTATAATAACAAATTCATTTCATTTAAAATTAACACCTATTACATTTGAGTAAGTTCTTACATTATTCCAAGATGAAAAGTTATCATTGTATAACTAATTTGTATTAATTAATCTTACCATTTAAATGCATTTTTTTTTTTTTTATCTAGGCATTGGATGAATTTTCTGTAAAAGTTCCATCACATAGTTGGCCAAAACTCAATGAAACACAAGTTACATTCAATGAACTAAATGCTATGTTAGCTAAGTATCAAAATCCTAAAGAAGCTGACGCTATGACAAAAATTCAACAAGATTTAGATGATACAAAAATTATTTTGGTAATATTTTATTTTTAATACACTGCTTTATTCAAAATTTTCATTAGTTTTGAGTACTTATAGAAAAAAAAATGAGAATTAAATTATTTAATTGATAATTTTTATCTTTATGACTATTCATAATTACTTGTCATTGAATGAGACAAATTACAAAATATTAATGTTTTCTGTATAACTCCTGATGCTAAATGACTATATTTTTTTGTAATTAATAAAAATAAAAAGCATTTTTCTTCCTTCTCATTCCAACGATTTATTTCCATATAACAAAATTATCTTTTTACCCATCCTAAACAATCTGTAACATTCCTCATTTTTTTTTTTAATCTATATTACTCATTTTAATCTATTTAATATTTACACATTTTGTTATCATTTAATTCATTTAATGTCTTCTTCAATACCCTATGTATCTCTTAATAACATGCTTTAATCCTCTCTAGCTTTTATAATTTTATTCTTTATTAATAGGCCTTATTTTCTGAGTTTTATTAGTTTTTTATTATTTCTTTTATGAACTATTCATCTTATACATTTGCTTAAACTATAGTGTATTTAATGAAATCAATGTTTTTTTCATCAAAGTTAAAATATTGTATAATATTTTAGCATAACACAATTGAGGCTGTTTTGGAACGTGGAGAAAAACTTGATGATTTAGTTGCCAAATCCGAAGGTTTAAGTATGCAGTCCAAAGCATTTTACAAAACTGCTAAGAAAACAAATGCATGCTGTCGAATGTAATGAATTGAATGGTAACCGTTATGACTACTGATTTAAGTATAAACATTTTTTTACTCAGTTAGTCAATTAAAATATGACTACTTATAAAGATATACAAAACAATATTTAGACTTATTTATTATTACATTCCGATCCCATCCCAATTTATATTTTATATTATAGTCGGTGAAAAGTGTGTTCATTACTTTTTATCCACATTTGGGGACATGATCAATATTTTGTTATTAACAAGATATAAAAATATATATTTTAACAAGAACAACAATGAGTTTAATTTAAAATTGAAATAAATTTGAAATTATTTCTTAAAATAAAAATCATTTTTATTAATATTATTTAAATATTGATATGTAAGTTAATTAAATTGAAAAATTTATTCAAATATACTGGTAATCATTGGATTTTTTTATAAAAATTACGCATGTTTCACTTATTTTTGGATCTGATTTTTTAATTTTCAAAAAAATTTATAGGAATTTTTTTTAGATGTATCGCAATAATTATTATCCATGACAATGTTTGGTAAATTATTGTTTTGTCAAATGTGAATTTATATTTCAATGGCCATACATTTTTTCGTAATTGAATTAAAGCATAATAACTGCTAGAGCTTGTTATGCTTCTAGAATTGTGGGATCTTGTAATATAAGGAAAAACAAACATCAAAACAACACTGATTTAAATATGTATCCAGTCAATTATTTCTGAAATCTGTATTAAAATGAAAAATAAGAAGAATAAATTGAAAATTGAACTCTATTTTGTAATTTCATGTTCAGAAGAAATTTTTAAGATTTTACCAATTTCTACCATTTATAATTGAAGAAAAAAACATGTTTGTTAAGTGAAGGTTCAAGGAATAATTGTTAAAGCTGTATTTTTTTTATTTTTTGTTTATATTATTTTATTGTTGTAAAAAAATAATTATTTAACTAATTTATAGTTAATAAATTGTTTAATCTTTTAAATTATTAGAATAATATTTATTGATAGTTTTGAGTTTAAATCCTTTAATTAACATAAGTAATTATTCTATTATTTGTACCATGTACCATTAACATATATATGAGAGAGGGCTTTTAAACATGTATCATAGAAAAATTTTAAATTTGATTATTACATAGTATGCAATTTGTTATTTGATAATCTCCATAGCCCCAAATATTTAATTAGCCCTTAAAACAAATTATTTAATCATCACTGTAATTTTACGTGGATGTTTGGATATTAAATTTGTGATATTTTATGTCATGTAATTTTTAACAAAACAGTTTTTTTTTTTACAATAGAACGGTTTTGTTCCTTATATAAGTATATTTCTTAATAGGCCCAAATTACACCTAAATGTGGATTTTTAACAAAAAAAATTTTTATGAATTGTAATTATGTATTTAATTTCTTTATTCAATTTTAAAGTTTTGTAAAATAGTTTGTTATTTAAGAAGTTAGTAGTTATTATGCTAAATATTATGTAATATATTAATTATCGCATTTTATTGTTAAATTTTGTGATTTATCCAAATATATTTAATATATTGATTACATATTAGCGATTGTCAAACATTAACATTAGTTTTGATTTTAAATTATACAATTTCTATACATTTTAGATTAATTTATATGTCCTTATTCTTGTATTAATATATGCAAATTATGGATCTTTTATTTATTTATTTTTAAGCAAATAGTTAATTTATTATGATCTTTCATAATGTATAAATACTCATGTGATCTTTATGTCCTTCATGATATAATATTAGAATTATTGATAATAATAATAAAATAATATTTTAACCATAAAAAATATGCATATAAATAATAACTTAGCACAATATTAATATTTCCATTCACAATTAATGTATTACTCAAGTTAAATAATTTAATCAATAATTACTCATTAAATTGAAATCATTGAATTATCTAAAAAATTACACTTAAAATTAAAAATATAAAATAATTTTTTTGTTAATTACTTCTGATTTCTAAATTTAAATTTTATATACACAGGTACTAAAATACTATACCTATTATATATTATATGGTTGTAATTTATAATTTAAAAAAATTGGTAGTAATTTTTTGCGCTGTATACCAATTGAGTCCCTATACCTGAAGGGAAAAAAAATTATATACTAATTGAGTCCTGGGTACTAACGAGATATATACTAATTGAGTCCGGGGTTAGGAAACTAATAGTATACGAATTGAGTCCGAGGATTATTTTGAGTAAAATATAAAATCAACCGTCCGAGTCCAGACAAAGCGAAAATTATGCCGCACAGCCGTGCCGGGCGTCAAAATGGATGTACTGATGTACAATATGTCAATATACGTATATAATACTATATATACATTTCGTTCATATCATTTTTATGACTTTCATCAGATAATATAGTAACATATTATTATACTATAGGCCGGGAATTTTAGATTTTATTTCTATCGTCACTAGTATCATAATTACCGATATATACTGATATAGTTCATATCAACTTGGAATTTTTTTGATTATATTACACACTCTAGTTTACGAGGTACACCAAGCATCATGGATGAAGTTATACTAAGTGAAAGAAATAAAACTATATTTGTAATCGACGGATACAAATTTCGTTTTCACAAAAATTTAGCCAATAATCACCAACGCTGGACTTGTTGCAAAAATAACTGTAAGTCATTTTTTAAATTAAATGAATTTAATACTATAGTTGAGAAATCTATTAATCATAATCATGAACAACCGAGTGAAAATTTAATAAATAGACAGAAAATTATCAATAAATTAAAACGTAAAGCTTTAGATGATCCAGTTGAGAGACCTTCAAAAATTATTCATAGAGAACTCAGAGAGAATGATACAGATACTTTAAATACCTATGACTTACAATTAATTCGAAAAAATATACATCATGTTAGAACATCAATAATGCCTAAATTACCTAAAACCTTATCAGAATTACATGCAGCTCTCATAGATTTTAACCCGAAGACAAACAAAGACGAGTCATTTATATTAATTAATGACGATACTAAAAGTATAATAATATTTTCATGTGTTACTAATTTAAAATTTTTAATTATGTGTGATACGATTTATATCGACGGAACTTTTAAAAGCTGTCCAATACAGTTTACTCAACTGTTTACTATCCACGGAATGAAAAATAATAACTACATACCTTTAGTATTTTGTTTACTTTTGGACAAAGCTTCAACGACGTATGAGGCTTCTTTTCAATTAATAATTTCAGAATGTCAAAAACTTAATTTATGTTTTAATCCTAAAACTGTATTTTCTGATTTTGAAAAGGCAATTCATGTTGCCGTAAATAAAGTTTGGCCATCAACACGACTTAGGGGTTGTCGATTTCATTTGGGACAAGCATGGTTTAGAAAAATCCAATCATTGGGTCTAGTTGATGAATATAAAAATAAAAACTCCGAAATTGGTAAATATTTAAAAACTTTTTTTGGGCTTTCGTTTTTAAACCCATTAGATGTCAATGATTGCTTCACCGATGACTTAATTTCTATTTTACCTCAAGACTATCGAGTGGAATTTTTTACTGACTACATATTAGAAAATTACATAACTGAAAGCTCACAATATCCTCCGGAAATGTGGGCCTCATTTACATATTCATTGGCGAGGACCACTAACAGTTGTGAATCCTTTCATTCAAAAATTAATGCTATGTTGTATTCAGCCCATCCAAACATTTACCAATTTATAAACATTTTGTTGAATGTACAATGCGAAACGTATATAAAAATTAGAAGTATTCATATAATTAATACAAGAAATTCTATAAAAGATAAAGAAAAAGAAATTCAACATCAAATACAGCTATTGCAATCAAACAAAATAAATAGATTTGAATATGTACAATGCTTGTCCCATAAATTTTTACCAATATAAAGAATTATAAATTATCATTATCTATATTTATTAAATTATACACAATTAATTATTCATACTGTATTATACCCCTACATTATTATATATTTATATTGTAAAATATTTAAAAAAAAAAAAAAAAACATTTTTAACCATACCTGTAGAATTTTTTAGTTTGACGAGACTCAGTTAGTATTAAAACATGGACTCAATTAGTATTATACCTAAAATTTCACTGGACTCAATTGGTATATACCCTTAAACAACCCGGGACTCAATTCGTCAAAAAAGGTTATACTCGGACTCAGTTCGTATGCAGCCATTTTTTGTATATTTAAGAGAACACTATGTAGGTATATACCTGTTTTTTTATCTTTGTCTCAAAACTATTTAATATAGGACTACACTGAGTTTATGTTTATCTTCGTTAGTTTAAAAATTAGAGTAATTCGGTCTATTAATGAAACTTAACGGTTAGAAATAAGATTAAACATCTGTATTCTTAGGTTAGTTTTTTACAATAAGTTGTTCAATTTTTTAGCAAGTTTTAAGTATTTATTAATTTTGCTATTTTATATGCGTACAATATTAGAAATAATATTAAATACTTGGATATTTACATTTTAACTGTTCAAGTTACCTATAATTTTGCCATTACTCATTAGTTTAGAGCACAATTTTTTTTTCTTTAAAAAAGAACTTGTAGGCTGTAGGAAGTTTTACAATGAAGTACAACATTATGTATGTGTATAAGAAAATTTAAAATACAATTTTTGGTGATGTAGGTACTGATGTGTTTAGCTTCGTCGTATTAATTGAGGATGAAGTTGGTGTACACATAGATAGTTTTATTTTTTTATTTGCATCAGCTATGTAATTATAACCATGGTAATCATTAATGTAACACGGTTATGGTTCATAAGCGGATATTTGGTTGATATTGTAATATTTGTTACATAGGTAGGTACTATTTAAATATAATATTATGTTACATATTACACAATAAATCCACCAATATGATTGACCAACACAAAATATACATACCTATTAAACACTTTAACACGTACGAATTATTAGTTATTACTAAAGTGACACACGGCAGTCAGTTCGACATTGGCCATCAACACAAGCGAATTCAACAATACAATTATTAACAGCCATCTTTTATACAGTAACGTATTGTTTTAAATATAATAGTTATTATAGATGTGTAAACCAAACGTGTCTTATTATTGATAAATACCTCTAATATAGTGCTTTACGCCCAGCTACGGAAAACTTATCCATAAGGAATTGAAAATCTTCTCTGGATTACTAATATTGTAATAAGGTTCCCCGACCACGTTACAATATTTTTATTTATTTT